ATTTGCAATTTTGCAAATTCGAAAAATGTTTAAATAAAATTTGTGTTAAAATTGTAAGCACAAGAACCAATAATGATGAATGACAATTTTTGATATTGAGAGTTGGCTCTAAATTTAATCAGGGGCGATTCAAAGGTTTATTTATTCCCAACTTTGTTACACGATACATTCTTAAAATTTAAAAATAACAAAAAAGGTATTTTTATTTAAAACAATTGGGCTAATAGTTTAGAAGAAAAACATTTTATTTAAATCATTATTAAATTATGTTTAACTTAAAACTATAACGTAGTCAATAACGAACAAAAATTTGAATTTAAAAAAACATATAAAACCTAGGGTTAACATTTGCAAAGTGCGATTTTCCAAAAATAAAAAAAAATTAAAGACCTGTCAAAACCAAAAATCACTGGGAATTTTGAAAAGAGTAAGGTTTGCATGTAAACATACACATTTATATATAATATTATATAAATTCATATATATATATACATTTTTAATATACATTTTCATTCAATTTGTGATATTTTTCGCCTACTGAATTTTGAGATACCACCGACATCTTTTGTTTAACCTGCATTATTGTTGTTATAGTTTATAATAAATATTAACAATTATTCCAATAATAATTATTATAATTGAACAATTAATGATAAATATTTAAAAAAAAATAATATTAATGATAAAAAGTAACTAACTTAAGTTTTTAATAGTGCCCTATAATGCTGAAATATTAAGTCAGTAAGGACATAAACAATAAAATTGATCTTTTAACCATTATCACTTAAGATCCTGCATTTGTAGGGCAGAATGAGTTGCTAAATTAAAAAAAAAACTATTTATTTGCGTATCGTAATGAGATTTTGTACCTGGGAGGGTCAAAATGGGGTTCCCGGAATAGAAATATTCCTGTTGCTCGATAATATTCCTCGATTAGTCCTTTTACAAAGGATAAGAGGAATTTATATAAAGTTATAAATTTTAAGGTTACATAACCTATTTGTGTCCACGTGTTCGTTAGACAACCGTTGTCCAATGGTTTTTAGTTCTTCTAAAATCATTGGACGTTAAAACTTGTATCTGGTTAATAAGGACTTTTGTACCATAAGGGCGGTGGTTAAGCCATAAATCCGCCCTAGTTGAAAGAAGAAGAAGATATTATGAAACGAAAATGCGTGTCATGTTGATTATTATGGTACGCAATTAGAAAAACTAAATTTAATCAAAGCTTTATTTTAATACATTATATCGATAGCATCGATAACAAAAAATATGCTTTGTTACTAATTTTTAATAAAAATGTTTGTATTTTTCTTGATTTTATTAATTTCACTTTCCAATACTCTTTTTTAGGTTTGTAATGAAGTTTGTAAAAAATATTTAAATAATTTATAGTTTGAATTTTTTAATCGTTGATTACATAATTACAAACACAACTTCAAATTAAAACCAAACTGTCCACAATTTTGTTTAGGCCAAATAAATTATTATTAAAAAAGTTACCATACTATAAAATAAAATTTTATAATAAAATTTCCGATGTTAATTTTAAACAAAATAAATATTATGCATTATTTTGAACTGTAAATAAACGGCTATTTATCGCCCTCCAAGCTTTATCGAAAAACAATTACTTTGTTGTTTAATTACATTTTTATGGTTAAATACTGTTTGGTTTAAAGTTTTATTCTTTAGAAAAAATATACCCAACTATAATTAAAAAGTATCGTTTATTTTCTATAAATAATTTACTAAAAAACTATCACTTGCTTAAGTTACGAAATATTAAAAGCTATAAATCTATAAAATGGATTTTTAAATGCATATTAAAGTGGACATTTCGGAAAATCATTTAGTAAAAATATAAATATATAGTGCATTAAAGCGTTGCAAACACTCCCCAAATCTGAACCTGTGGAATAGCTATATATATTTTTTTAATTTAAATTATCGTTGCCCACCATTTTAATAATATGCGGAGAAAATAGGCAGATGTTAAGTTAGAGCTTCTGAAACGCCATGAATTATTTAGTTTATGACAGCCAAAGATTGTTGCGGGATGTTGGTAAAAAACTATCTCATCTCGAAGGTTACAAATTTATTGTCCAGGATTCCTTCGAACAGAACTTTTTAAAATTGTTGATCTTAAACCTTGGACGTCCAGTATGCTTCTAATTAAAAGTGAAACCTGTAACCTTAAGTTTGCTGACCTACGACCTAATCGTAAGTGATTATTCTAAAATTCAAAATGTTTTGTTAAATCCTAAATCTCCGCTTACTTATATTGAGCAGCTTATATGAAGGTGCATCCTTAATGTGTTACACGAGTCGCGACTCTCGAAACTCTCAAGTTGCTTATTTTGAATATCTAACGTATCAAGGCTAAAGTGCTTTTTCTCCTTTTGTCGTTCCGTCTTCCACTGGGATAGAAATAAAAAAGAGCATAGGTTAAGTATCATTTTTTCAATTGAGCGCGTTTAATCCGAGATAAATTTTAAATGGATTTAATTCGCCTGTAGAAATAATCTTTCTCTGTTCGTTAAAGGGCAGAATAAAAGTTTAGTTAGACTTTCAAACTTTAAGGAACTGACAATTTGTGTTTGGAACTAAAGTGCTCTATTTCTTGTCCCGTTTCTGTAACAGACTAATGACACCTTTAAATACTCAAAAAAGAGAAAAACATTTATAATATACTCGTTTTTTTGGATCCCCAGCATAAATTCGTATTCAGCAGCAAAAAATAGATGAAAATGGTCTCTTTTGGTCCGCTGGGCCCAAACTTTGCGATGGGGAGGGGCTGTTTAGAATAAAATAGTAGTAGTTTAAGTAGTTAATTTTCATGTATTTTGTAGGGCTGAATTTGAATCCAAGGTCGGAGTTTTGGAATAAGCTTTTGTTTTCTTCCTTACCTAAAAAAATGTTATATCACGATCAATTAACGAAAATACTTGTTTTTTAGGTTAAGAAGAAAACAAAAGCTAAGGAAAGATTTAATAATAAAGAAAATATCATTCTTTATAAAAAAGTATTAATTTATAATTTCAATTTTGAAAATCAAATTTAAGACTTTTAATGTCAAAATATTACTTGATTTTAAAATTATTTAGTTTTATTAATACTAAATATTATTATTGAAACTTATTCCTTATTCGTTTATTTATTTTATTTTTAAATTTTAATATGCTTTTAACAGGCACGGGCCCAATTACAGGAAAACACAGACAAACACAAATAAACTGTTATACCCCTGGGTGGCTATTCTTGAAAAGTGGGAAAACATTTTCTCTTGAGAACTGGGCGGAGTTCTCTTGAAAACTTTAAAATGCTATTCTTGAAAATAACGAACTGCTCACTTCCCAAAATAATAAGGGAATTTGTTTCTTATGGTATTTCATAGGAGAAGTTTTAAGTTCTCCGAGAGAACTGCTTCGGTAACCTAATTTTGAAGTATTTGTTAGTGGTTTGTCAGTGAAAGTCATAAAGTTAAGAGAAATAATATGTTAAATTCATTTACAATTTCCGAAATATAAACATTTATACTGTTTTACAATGGACCTTGATGAAATTTTGGAGGGATGTTGGGGGATTTGCAAGATGCTGCAGAACAAGCGGATGGAGAACGTCAAGTGCTTGATATAAAAGATCCATTTACATTATCTGATGTAAAATTTGTCAAGTACTTTCGAGTTTCAAAAGAGCTAGGAAGAGACATAATTCACATGGTTTCACCTTTTATGGAAGCTCCTACTAGACGCTCAGCTATTACAATCGAACGAAATGTAAGTCAATTTCGAAGGCTAAAGCACGTTAATGTAGGTTTTATGTTTTTTATAAGGTTTGCATTGCTTTGCGCTTCTTTGTATTTGGTGGTTGCCAAGAAATGACGGGTACCAACAGCTATACAGCAGTGAGTCAACCAACCGTTTCGCGGGCTTTACAGCAAGTGTGCAACGCTCCTTTGCACCCCGACATTTTCGAACGTTAGGTTCGTTTTCAACATACTATCAGGGAGCTTCAACATTTAAGAAATAGGTTATTATATATCTTATTGGAATTACGTAGAGATGTATAATCGTTGGTTTTTATAGATTTTTTTAAAAGTATGGTATCCCTGGTGCGGTAGGTGTTATTGATTGCACACATGTTGCAATCGTCATGCCACCAAATAATGATCCTTTACATCCGGAATACATTTACATTTATATAAACCGAAAGAGTTATCACTCCATTAACGTTCAACTAGTAAGTCATTTTATATCGAAATAAATTTTTCAGTGTTAAATTTTATAGATCTGCGATGAAAATTTAAAAGTAATGAATGTGAATGCTCGTTTCCCCGGTAGCTGCCATGATTCTCATATTTGAAGGGAGTCTAGGGTATCTCAAATCATAGAAGAAATATATAGGGGTAATAACCAAAATGTCATTTATCTTTTGGGCGATTCTGGTTACCCCTTAAGACCTTGGCTGTTTACACCGTTAAGGGATATCATACCTAATACTCCCGAAGATGCATTTAAGAATACGTTAAGTCTGCCAGAAGCACGATTGAAAGATGTAACGGAGTTTTGAAAAACCGTTTTCGATGTTTATTGAAGCATAGGTTTCTTCACTATAGTCCTACAACAGCATCAAAAATAATTAACGCTTGTGTAGTTTTACATAATATGTGTATAGAGTATCGAGTACCAGAACCAGAACTAAATGAAGCACTACTTGAGGAAGAATATGGGATGGATATCCCCATAGATGCTTATAATGATCAGGAAAGGCATCTTGTTAGAGTTAATCCTGATCTTGCCACTGCCAGATTATTGCAAAGGAGCATAGTTGCCAATTATTTTGCTTAACAAAACACTTATTTTTTTTTGGTAATTCGTTTATTGTGTATGGCTTTAACTAAAAATAATATTGTTCAAATAAACTTTTATTAATACATAATTTATAACATTTCTTAATAATTAACAATTTTACCTTAAATCTAGAAACAAAATTAAAACTTAACAGCGTGATGGAAGTTGGTCTTGGATCTGTTTTAAGGTAACAAATATTTCTCTTTCTATTTCATTCCTCTCCCTTAATACAGCAAGCTTATTTTCTTGATATTTCTGTTGTAATTCTAGTTTCATCTTCATTAGTTTTAGTTTTTGGTCATAATAGTTCTCAACATTTTCCTTTTTTTCTTTTGAAATTCCAATAAATTTCTTGGTAAGAGTAAGTGAGTTTTCTAAGCGTCTGGACTTGGTCATTCTACAACTCGTACTTTGAGTTGCTGCAGTAGGTTTTAGAGGTCGTTTAAGACCATGCTTCGAGATATTTGCTGATTTTAGTTCTTCCCGGGGCACCTCAAACTCCATCTGCAAAAACTAATTAAGTATTTAAAATAAGTACCTACATACTTTATTTGACAAGGTTATATTTTCAGACATTTTTACCTCAACTTCATCTATTTCTTCATTTAAAATGTTATCTTGCTTTTCTGTTAATGGCTGCTCCTTTGTTACGGGCTGCTCTTCGAGTAAAGGCTGATCCTGTGTTAAGGGCAGCTCCTGTTTTGACAAAACCAATTTCAACAATATTATTGAACAATATTATTATAACAAGCTAGAAACTTACATCAAAGCCAAACACAATGCTGGATTCAAAGATATTATTATTCCCTTCAATAACAGTAGGAACAATCATTGTATTTACAATTTCATACTCAGTATCCGTTAATTTACTGTTTATAGCTGGGCCCCCACCGGTGGCTCCAGCGTGTCTCCTTATATTGCTATTTTTAGCCTTTGCATTTTTTTTAGTTCCTGCCATATCTAAAACAAAGCTAATAATTAAAATTCACACAATAAAACATAAAACTTTGTTTAACAGTACCTAGTTGAAGTTAAAAGCAAAAAAAAAATACTCTATAAACTGTACGTACCTTACGCCATTGGATCCAGTTTTTTTTGGGACCGTCTGGTATGTTAAGTGTTAAGATCACTTTTTCCCAAAGGTTTTGTCCGCATTTTTTTGTAAATGTTGAAGTAAATTTTCCAGATTGTAGGTTTGGTTGATTTTTAATAAATTCTAACAAAATGTCTTTTTGCCCCTGACGAATCTGGCCACTTCTAACACCCGCGTTCTGCATTTTTGCAAATTTCACACTTTTTTATACTTATTTAAAGAAAATTATATTAAAAACTTTTAAAACTGTCAAATTGAAAGATAATCTTTCAAAACCAAAACAAACAAAATCAGCTGATGATTCTTTCAATTCGGATTGGTTAAAACCTGAAGGTTAAACCGACAACGCTGTGGAACTTACTTAAATAAAGTTCAGCTCACATTCCTATTCAGATCCGTTTAAGAATAGTGCTTTGGACACCAGGAGAAAATGAAGTGAACTTCGAGGGAAGTGATTTCATATTTTCTCCTGAGAAATGAAAAGTTCTTTCGTTTTCAAGAATAGCCACCCTGGTGGCATCCGAACCCACGTACCTATAGGTAAGTATACTTAAAATGTAATAAAAGTGTATACTTAAAATGTAATAAAAGTGTTTTCCCGGTAAGTAATAGACAACTATTTTCACCAAATTAAAGTTAATTAACATAATCATTATAATATTTAACATATTAATAATTATAATAAAAATAATACCTTATAATAATATTTACATTATGTATACATATATATAAAACTGCAAAACAGCTGCCTTCGTTTAATTTTTGGTATCAGGAAGTATGACAGCAATCGTCATACTCTAATAAAAAATAAATGGCTTGATATGAATAATAGACGAAAGCTTCTCACAATTTGCTTCTTGCAAAGTTTGTTACAAACCAAATCCCCCAGTTACCTGCATCGCAAAATTTCCTATCGCACCGATATTCACAATATTAATATTAGATTTAAAAATACTATTTCCATACCCTCTCACACAACGGAATTATTTAAAAGGTCGTTTTCATATATTTTGCCTAGCTATGTAAATGGTTTACCATTTGATTTACGCTCTAACATGCTTAATTGGTCCGCTAAATTATTTAAAAGGAAAGTTTTTAAAGCCTTGTTTAATGAACAGCAATTAAATTAACTATTTTTTTAAGTTATGTTGAAATTATACTATTTAAGAATAATTTTTATGAATACTTATTACTAATAATTTTTATGTACATTTAAATGTAAGAATGAGTAACAATAAATGTTATAAATCAAATTGCGCCATTTGAGATTGTATATACAGGGTGTATCACGGTCGATGGTAGGTTAGACGTTTATGGAGAACGGCAAAAGATATCGAATTACAATTTTTATAGCAATTATAATATCATTTAAGTTTTTTTTCTAAATTATTTTGAACAAAATTTCTATTCCGGTTTTAACGGAAGCTATATCAACTTTGTTATTTTAAATGGATCACCACAATTTTTTTCACAATTTTAAATTCTTACTATCATTCCTTATAAAATGGCTATATCATGTCCTATACCTAAACTTAATAGTTTTTGAGTTACTATTTTTTTTGTAAAATTTGGTCAGTTTCACCCCAAACAAAAAAAGCTTATTACTTTTTTTATATTAGGTTTACTGATATTCGGTTGGATTTATTGAAATCCTAAATCACTGTTTTAAAGATTCCATGTAAATTATTGTAATATTTTTAAAAAGATACTTGAAAAAAATAATGTAAATGTAGCTAACTTAAAACAGCAATAACTTTTTTATTCTCAATGGATCGCCCTGTTAATTTTTACATAATTAAATATGAAATTATAATACCTTTTCATTGGTATAACTATTACATATACCTAAAGTTAATATTAAGAAAGATATTTTACAATTACCCTAATAATATAAAGAAAAACTGATAAAATGTTGCTCATGTGTATTAATTTGGTATGAATAACAAAACTTTTCCGATTTTTATTATTACTAAAATAAATGAAAATAACTACACATACCAGGTCCTACAAAGCGACATTTCTTTGAAGGGCACTTAAATGGAGAAATGTACACGGATTTTTTAAGAAACCATTTACCGCAGTTATTAAACCAGAACATAAACCAGGACATGTGGTTTCAGCAGGATGGAGCTCCACCTCATTATGCTATTGAGGCCCGAACCTATTTGAATGAAATTTTTCAAAATAGGTGGATTGGTCGAGCTGGTCCGGTCAATTGGCCTGCTAGGTCACCTGATTTGACCCCTCTGGATTATTTCCTTTGGGGTTTTATCAAGGACAAAGTGATGGCGATTGCGCCTACAACATTAGAGGACATGAAGGACAGAATCCGCGTTGCCTGCTCTAATGTAACACCTGAAATGCTGCAGAATGTACGGAGCTCATTTAAAAAAAGAGTGAGAAAGTGCTTAGAACTTCAAGGTCGGCATTTTGAACAATTTTTTAAATAAGCAAAAAATAAATTTGTTCTAATTAATAATTTTTGTGTAATTTGTAATTTAATAAATCATAATTAAAATTACTTTCCATGTTTAACTGAATAATAAATTGAGAATTAATCGTCAAAATGTCAAAATTTTCGACTAACTAAGATTAAAATAACGCGTCTCCATGGAAATAAACAACAACGTGCAGCTTAACAGACTTGATAAAAACATTGAAATTATTTTTTAGTATTTTAACATAATAAATCATAACTCCGTAACCAAAAGAGCAAATGAATTATTTTTTGGCACACATACGTAGTTTTTTACGTAGATTCGAATTTTATAAAAAAAAATACATCATTCCATTGAAAAATCCAAAGTTACCCCTTGCCCCTCAAAATGGGGTGGGGGGGTAAATTTCAAAAATATGTCCAAATATGTCCCCCCGTGTCCTCATTACTTTACCAAAATTTCACAAAAAAATATTGAACCGTTTTCAAGATATTGTCTTGTAACACTTTAAAAAACTCACCCTGTATATATAAAACTGCAAAACAGCTGCCTTCGTTTAATTTTTGGTATCAGGAAGTATGACAGCAATCGTCATACTCTAATAAAAAATAAATGGCTTGATATGAATAATAGACGAAAGCTTCTCACAATTTGCTTCTTGCAAAGTTTGTTACAAACCAAATCCCCCAGTTACCTGCATCGCAAAATTTCCTATCGCACCGATATTCACAATATTAATATTAGATTTAAAAATACTATTTCCATACCCTCTCACACAACGGAATTATTTAAAAGGTCGTTTTCATATATTTTGCCTAGCTATGTAAATGGTTTACCATTTGATTTACGCTCTAACATGCTTAATTGGTCCGCTAAATTATTTAAAAGGAAAGTTTTTAAAGCCTTGTTTAATGAACAGCAATTAAATTAACTATTTTTTTAAGTTATGTTGAAATTATACTATTTAAGAATAATTTTTATGAATACTTATTACTAATAATTTGTATGTACATTTAAATGTAAGAATGAGTAACAATAAATGTTATAAATCAAATTGCGCCATTTGAGATTGTATATACAGGGTGTATCACGGTCGATGGTAGGTTAGACGTTTATGGAGAACGGCAAAAGATATCGAATTACAATTTTTATAGCAATTATAATATCATTTAAACTTTTTTTCTAAATTATTTTGAACAAAATTTCTATTCCGGTTTTAACGGAAGCTATATCAACTTTGTTATTTTAAATGGATCACCACAATTTTTTTCACAATTTTAAATTCTTACTATCATTCCTTATAAAATGGCTATATCATGTCCTATACCTAAACTTAATAGTTTTTGAGTTACTATTTTTTTTGTAAAATTTGGTCAGTTTCACCCCAAACAAAAAAAGCTTATTACTTTTTTTATATTAGGTTTACTGATATTCGGTTGGATTTATTGAAATCCTAAATCACTGTTTTAAAGATTCCATGTAAATTATTGTAATATTTCTAAAAAGATACTTGAAAAAAATAATGTAAATGTAGCTAACTTAAAACAGCAATAACTTTTTTATTCTCAATGGATCGCCCTGTTAATTTTTACATAATTAAATATGAAATTATAATACCTTTTCATTGGTATAACTATTACATATACCTAAAGTTAATATTAAGAAAGATATTTTACAATTACCCTAATAATATAAAGAAAAACTGATAAAATGTTGCTCATGTGTATTAATTTGGTATGAATAACAAAACTTTTCCGATTTTTATTATTACTAAAATAAATGAAAATAACTACACATACCAGGTCCTACAAAGCGACAAATTTATGTACATACACCGGAAAAAAATTGTTCTTATTAATATATTATTTTCTTGTAATATAAATACATACAGTTTTTGAAACTCATACGTAGGTTCCAATTGTATTGTTTATTAATTTAAAACTAAAAATTTGAAATATTAAATAATAGGAATTGTAAAATATCTTTGTTATTATTAACTTTAGGTATAGGGAATAGTTATATTAATAAAAAAGTATTATAATTTCATATTTAATTATGTAAAAATATACAGGGCTTTCCATTCAAAATTAAAAAGTTTTTGCTGTTAGATACATTCACATTGTTTTTTATCAAGTACCTTTTTAGAAATATTACAATAACTTACATGGAATCTTTAAAACAATCCTTCAGGATTTCAATAAATCCGACCGAATATCAGGAAACCTAATATTAAAAAAGTTATAAGCTTTTTTTGTTGAGGTTAAATAAGAATTTTGTTGACACTCTTGCTACTGACTTGAAATTAGCAAATGTGATATTTGGTCTAATTTCGCATTCAAGCTGTTATTCCTGCACATGGTATTTTTCCCACAAAAATAGTCTGGTGTCTTCTGCAACTTTATAAATTATATAAAATTTAAAAAATTAAAATAGATGGTTTGCATCTGGGTCCAAAAAAGATGAAGAAAAGAATTATATGAACTGTCTAAATCCTCCTCTTCTTGCAGGAGAATGCTATGACACCTTATTTTTAGATGTATATCCTCCTTCTGAGTATGAGTATGGGAACGTATGGCAGGCCCCAGATATATTGTCAACCACTAATCTCCCGGGGTTATTTTACCCCCTTTCCGTTCTCCTGCGTATCCCGCCAAATCACACCATTACCTGTGTTTGTTGGATCCGAAGTTTTTACGGAGGTCGTGGATGACAGTGTCAAAGGTTAAGGCCGCTCCCGGATTTTTGT